GAGTGAGTGAGTGAGTGAGTGAGTGAGTGAGTGAGTGAGTGAGTGAGTGAGTGAGTGAGTGAGTGAGTGAGTGAGTGGACGGCGGGAAGGAGCGAGGGACGGAGGGAGGGACGGGCGGGCGGGCGGAGTCGGGCGGGATGGCAGCCAAAAAACTAGAACCCCACACAGAGATGTGGGGAAAAATACCCTGATCATCGATCCCACTGATTCTCATGTTCTCACCCCTTCTCACGTCCCTTTTTTGCTCCCGAAAGGACCTTCTTGACCAAGCAACGCTCTTGCAGAGGTAGTCCCAGTTGAGAAATTCCCTGGGCCACCTGATAGCTCTCCGCTTCAGCGCGCTCTGCCTGCATGGCAGCGCTCAAGAAGAAACCTGCGACGCGGCCCGCGACGTCCGGGGTTTCAAGGTCCGAGGAGTCGAGGAGTCGAGGAGCAGCGACGTCGACGTCTTCCCGACGACAAGGAGGGAGCAATGCTCTGCTCAGAAGTCCGGCAGTCTTAATCCTGATCCAAGTCCATCAAGTGGATCCAGACTTCCGAGGGCAGGATTCGAGCTGCTATTCCCAAGTCCGGAGTCCAGCTGCACTTGGACTTTTTCAGGTCTGCCACCACATCCATGAACTCTCCCCTCTAAAGTTGGCAAACATCAGTCTAAAACAATAGAAGCCGCTGGAGCCTTGGATGTTTACAATAGCTATCCTGGTCGTCTTGCCTTCTTTGTTGCCCAAGTCTCCCAACCAAAGTGGGGGGAGGCAAGGCTTCATCTTGGGGCTGTTCCAAAAGAACGCCCAACATTCCCCGATACAATGGAGAAAACCAGAGAAAACCAACCAGTCCACCAGTCTTAGCTCAGTTGCTATCTGCAGCTTCCATCAGCATCTGTACCGCTGATCCCATTTCACTTCCTTGAAGCGATCGATCAAAAAGGATTGGCCATGACACAACCAGGGTGGAGCAGGGCTGGGCAGGGCAGCCATGACTTTTCTGCTCAACCCACACGGGCGGTCAGTGGCTTTTGGGGACCATGCTGCGCACTGATACATCAGCGTGCAATATGTGCACACGGTCATGTCAAGGAAGCACTTGGGTCTTCAATTCTAAGAGACCCTGGAGGTCTCCTGATGTTCATGCTTCCTACTCTCACTGCTCTGGAGACGACCACGGTGTGACGTCATCATCGAGGCGAGGGCCCTGAGGGACCCCGGTGCCAAGGCACGAAGCTTCCGCTTCTCCGATGTTCCGGCGTGCCAATTCAAATGTCCTTCCTGGAGGCGAAGGAGGAGAGCTCGTGTGAAATTGATATCAATATATACAACTCAATAGAAAACCCCGGTATACCAGCGGATGGTCTTTATATATATATATATAGTGGTTTGTATCTCCATTATGGGGAGGTTATGTATCAACGGTCTAGATGAAGGTGTGCCAAGTGGTGACCAAATAGGCCAGTCTTCATGTCGCCTTGGAGGTCCAATCTTATTGTTAGGATGGGGGGTTGGATAGGGTTGGTTTTCCTGGTCAGCAAAATCTGGTCACGAGCTCCGGTCACTGGAATTCCAAAACGAATGGGCCGAGTCACCGTCAAATCCAATTCTGGACGCAGGGCATGGGTGACGCAGTAAAAAGTGAAGATTGCAAGCACCTGGCGTTCGGGTTGCAAAGCGGCAAAAAGACTATGCATTGAAGGCTGCTACTTCCGCTAACATAGCTCAAGAAAACCTCGTGCCTTTGATTGATCGAATGGGCAAACCACAAATCAACCAAATTATCAAGCAAAATCAAGCAACAATGACTCAAACCAACCAAGCAAACCAAGACAAACTCAATCAAAAAGACCAGAAACCTCAGACCGAAACGCCCTTCTCAAGACTTGGCCCCTCTCTCGCCCCTCGGCGCCTTCATCTCCGCATTCGGATCGAGGCGCGGCGACAGAGGTGAGAAAGATTTGACAAAGCACGGTCCTGGGAGCACGGTCCCATGCCAAATCCGTTGCAAAGCACCTAGTCATACCTAGTCTGGAAAAAAACAGTTTTCGTGAATGGGTGGAGTCAGCGAATGGTGAGGGTGATGCTAGACGCCACAATGAAACGCAACATATATCTGGGCTGCACTCCATACAAGAAAGTGCAGTCATCTCCCCGTTCAGCTATAGTACCAGGAAACCAGTGTCCACTTTCTGCAAATGATCACAGTTCCCGGTGGAGGAGAACTTGCCTTCAATCAGCTCCTAGGAGCTGGACGCCGAGTCACATTCATTGGCTCCGCGAGTAGCGCGGGGTTCTATAATTTGTTGAGCCACCATGGCCCACGTGCATCTCGTGGAATGGGATGCATGACCAGCATCACGTCGAGTGGGAAAGGAACAAATGTGCAGGGCGATCTTGCAAGCTCTTCAGAACATCTCTCAGAAAACGCCATGCAATGGAGACGCCAGCAAGCCCACATTGGCCCCCAACGGTTGCTCGCAACACACAACACTGGGAAAACCGTAAAGACCCTGACCCGGACTACACACCTGTGGGGGTGCTGCTGGGGGTCATCGTCTCTGTGTTGTCACGCAATCTCGCGTGATTTTTTCTATGATTGGATATGAAGATCGGATAGGATTGGACAAAATCCACCTGGACTCCTGCCGGTAACCACTCCAAAATCTAGGTCACACACAGATCAATCAACTATAGATCCACCATTGTGATTTTCAGTCTTTGGGGATCGGATCTGGGCTCTTCGATGCTGGCGCCTCTTCGTTCCGCGCGCGCGCGAACGCCCGCGGCGGGGAGCCCGGACTCGGTGTAACGTTCACGAAGCGTCCTCGGGCGCCGAGCCACGGAGCCGACGGCGAGGCTGAGGCCGAGCTCCGTGTCCCGGCTCAGCCGGACCCAGGTGGTGCACCCAGTGCCAGGTGCATCTGAAACGACTCAGGTGGTGGCTGGCTATGTAAGGGGTGTTTGCCTGGGAATCATCGATTGAAGAACTCCTTAGTTAGGGTTGACTGACCTGACAGCTGTGAAGTGGTCCGTATACAAACGCTCAGACTACTGGCACCTCCAGCTTCGTGTCACGTTCACTATCTACATCGTCTGCCCGGCCCTAAACCAGGTTGACTCTCTCCACGGGAGGACCATCCGCGACCCTCCAAGTTACTCCAAGCTACTCCAAGTTTTCGAAGGTCGTCGCAATGATGCGTCCCACATGGCCCAGTGCCTTTCCTCAGTGACCCAGTTCGCCGGCGGCACCGGGCAGCCCGCCAAAACGTGGAGGACACCCGGCGGCCCCGAAAACGTCAAGTGTTTTTGGTTCTTTTTCGGTCAAGCAAAGGTCCCCCAAAAAAAATTTGGGCAGTGAATGTGCTGCAGCCATTTTGATAGATCTCCTATATAATTGAACTAAGATATCAAAACGAATTATATAATGTTATATAGGCAATTTTGAGGGTTGTATGGTCAATATTGGTCAGTAGACTGGTCAATGGCTTCAACTGATTTCCTTATCCAGTATACATAATGAAACTCATAATGCATTAATTGCATAGCATTTTGCCTTAATATATCTCTCCAAATCCCCAACACACAGCTTTGAAAACAAAAAGCACCACCCCAACACAAGAACATAAGAGTTCCTTTGACTTTTCAATGCTTCACTTCAGGACCTGCAACTGCATCTGGCAATTTACATTTGCAATACGAGTGATTATAGGTAATACGCGCCAACACGTGGCCATACCATGCCATACCTTCCTCTCCAATCATTTCCACCCTTTTCAATAATATGATGGACACCGCTACTCCAAACCAGCTAGACACCTCGGTTCCACCATGTTCCACATTTTTACAGCCCAAACCCACCCGCTTTGCTCGTGTCGGGCGACGGTGTCGCGCCAGGTTCAGTGCGAAGGACAAGTTGGCATCGCCAAAGACCACTGCGTCAGTGGTGGGATCAATGATCTCCAGGCGGTAGAAGCGGCCAATGGCCTGGTGAGTCGGAGCGGAGTCGGACCTCTAAGAACGAAAACATGACGGCACTGCCACGTCTGCGCTACGGCGTTGGTGGTGTGCCCAATGAGGAACAGCAATTCAACTGTCAATGAGGAACACTAAAGAATCTCATCAGAATCTCAGCCGTGAGAATTCCCTGCCTTGGATCCCGAGGGGAAGCTGGGCGCAGCTCCTTCCTGGGCTTTAAGCTGGGACCCTTCAAGATGATTTATGGACAAAACATGACATGTGACAAGTAGGCCCAAAGACAATCTCAATCGCTACTGGTAGAGGACACATTCAATGGACTCATGGACTCGTTTTGGAGTAGTGAGTGACGTCAAAGACCCTCAATTGGTGGCGAACGATGCACACGTCAAGACCCTTGCCCAACCACATTCCGTTGGTGCGACTCAAACCAGAAGATCCTCGAACATGAAGAACGCCCCATTAACAATCATTAACACGTCAAAACCACTCCATAAACCTTATGCATACACATCCAGAAGGACCCTTTCTCGACTCCCTTGGACTGAATGCACCGATCCATACACTGGACTGCTCGCTCAGCTTCCGTCAAGCCTTTCAAGGGCGGCTTGGGCTTCGCCTCTTCCATGACTTGCTCCAACCTGAGGGCGTCCACGTTTTCGTTCATGAAGAGAACGGCGGAGCTCAGGAGTTTCTTTTTTTGCAAGGGTTTGGGGAATAAATTCGAATCATATTGGACACATATACAGTGGTTCCGTGCACCGACTCTCGCTCATGGAGATCAATGATCATTGTTATTCATTGTTCATGGTATTCATGTAGATGGTGCCAAATGCATCCACACGGGTCCCCAAAAAACCAAGTTCGAGGACCGGACAAGGTCGACCAACGAGGTCGACCCATGGGACTTCCCACCGTTCCACCGCTCCGGCCACGGGACGGCCGTGTTCCGTCGTAGTGCCGCATGACGTAGCGCACGTCCTTGTGGAGATGCGCGACGTACGAGGGGTGTGAGCATGTGTGAGCAAGAAGAACGAGGCTCGTCAAGTCATCGTTCGAGCTTCGTTCCCTGGTGTTGTAGGCGGGGTTGTCCTACCTCAACTGAGTTCAGTTTGGTTCTCACGGGCAAGGGCATAGTATGACATGACTTATATGACGCATGAGCTCTCACATGGTTATATGTTGTTCTCAAATGTTTTCAGCACGATGCAACACCCGGAAAACCAAGTCACTGGTCAGAAGTTTCTGCGGTCCTTGTGGCACAAAAGCCGCAGTCGCACTTCTTGCCTTGGTCAACCCAGGTTGATGACATTCTAACAAGCTGGAGGGACACTGGAAGGATGTCATGTATACAATGCATGCCTGTTCCTGGAGGACGGAAGAACTGGTAGATAGAGCATGACAACAAGAGAGACAAATGTGCGCAGTATCGCAGGCCTGGAGGCATGGTACACACCCATAGCCCACCCTTTGAATCTTCTATCTTCGTTTCCTCACCATGCTGCTTGCTCTTCCATCTGAGGCCCCAAAGGAGGACTCCGAAAGGTTTCCAAAACCACCCCACCCCAACACGCCTGGAGCCATCTCCTGGGCCTCCGGGCACCTCTCGAGGCCGAGAGCGTCGGCTGGGCGCTTGCCGGACTCGGCTGGGCTCCCACACGTGCCGTCCAGATTCCAATGCGCACGGAAGGCTTGGATTGGGTCCACGGCCGCGCCACCTGGGATGGTGTGGATGTTTCCTCAAGCCGGATCGGCGGTTCAGGTGGACATGAGGTGGACAGCAGAAAAAAGGCACAATAGGAAATTGAATCAAGTGGAAACAGGGTTTCCATGGATATCCATGGGTTTCCAGGTCTGCGGCAGTCCGGATGGTTCTGGGAGTTGGGACGAACTCCTCCGCCGTTTGGCCATCGACCCGCCGAGCTGAGTCGATGGTCGTCGTCGATGTCAATTGACATGTTAATCAAAACACCCACTATGATCATCTAAGATCTAAGAAGATGCTCTATGGGTCCAGTCATTAAGGCTTCTAACCTCTAACCAGCTCTTTCTCTCTGGGACCTACCAGGCTCTATGCCCCAGGGACACTTCGTGCTCCCTCAGTCCACCCCAACGGGGGTGGAGAAAGAATCCTTCCGAGTTGCTGGGCCCCAGCATCTCTCGCATCTGGCCGGGGGCGATGCGAAGTGATTGGCCCAATCAATTGTGGAAGGCCGGTGGTTTTCTTCTTTCATTGCGCTGACTTGCTTCAAGGCAGTGAGTCTTTGATTTCAAGGCATGTTTTGACACTTGACATGTGTTAATCACTGTGAGACTCTGGTGACATGATAGCATACTCAGTTGTATGCACCTGGCAGGCTTCGACTTAGCAAAGTCCATTTACTTCATGTCACGCTGCCCGCCGCGACGGACCGAACGGCGGGCGCCTGTGCGATGTGAACAGCTGACAGCTCCTAAGGGACGTTCGAGCCAAGGGAGAAAAGGGGAAGGAATCAATCCCAAACAATGGGACCTTGGCATGTTGACCTACATTGGGGAGGTTTCAGGATGTTTCACGGAAAAATATAGTCAAATATGACTCAGTTGACTCAGTCAACTAAGTGTCTGATAATGGGAGAACGACCTCCCGGACGTTCCTTCGAAGGAACCGGGACACCGCCAGGAACACCGATGGCATGGTGCAAACGTCCTCCTTTGAGAGGGCCCGCCCTCTCTTCCTCTCTCCCCCTGTCTCACTACAGTTTGGGAACCCCATATGTATGTGGAGGGTTATGTTTTGTTGATTCATCCTGGGAGGTGTTCACCATGTTTCAAGCCGTTCTCCCCCTTCTGATCTTCTGAACAAAGAATATTAAAGCATATTGAAGCTTAAACAATCCGATTCAGGCAATCTAAAACTGGTTCGACATCTTTTAAGCATAAAGGAAACCTTGCCAGCCCTACCTCCTAGCAAAAATGTCTCAAGAATTCAATGACATCGCCCAGCAGCCGATGAAGCATCACGCAAACGACTCACCAGTGCCCAGCATCAAATAACATCAAATGCAGGAAGAGCAAATAACGCAGCCTTGCCCTTCCAATTGGCTTTGAGGCACCAAGAACATCTTTGCTTAAGATCCATGATCATGGATTTAGGATGATTTAGGAGGTGGAATCTGAAAGAGTTCCTTCAAACCTTCCCAGGTCTACTACACCATCTGCCGCCACTTCTGCGTGACCGTCAGGGTTCCGCAGGTCCACGCCACTCGTTGGTGGTGTCCGGATAATACCTCGGGTGACCAGCGAGACCGGAGGCGTCCACGCGAAGCCGGTGGCCGGGGATGCCGTTGTCATTTGTTTCGTCGGCGATGCGACTCATATTGCTCACCGGTGGTTGAAAACAATGTGAGGCGCCCAGGCAAGTAATTGAAGGAGGTATTCCAGGCTGGCAGGCCTATTATCTGAATTCAGGTAACAGCTTTTAGATCAACTTTCCTCATGATGTGGGCCCTGCGCCAGAACAATTCCAAGAAAGTGATGAAAAAGGTCATAAAAGCTCATTTGTTTACTTCTTTCACCGTCGCCAGAAAGAGCCTCTTTTCACACCGCCAGTGCCAAGTGGCCCAGAGTTCTCCAACTCACGGAGCTCAAAGAGGGATAGACCTTCTAAAACATGACGCACCACCGACTCGCTTTGCAAGCCCCACTTTCCTGAGGCAGGGGTCGCAGCCGGGAGAGAAGGATGTAAGCGCGTGAGGCCGGCTGCGATCGCAAATTGGATTGACCGAAGCTTGAGTGCCTGTCATCAACACATGTCGACAAAATTCAATCATTAACGAGATCCTGGCGACATGTTCAAAAGCACATGATTGATAAAGCTTGCAGACATATGTTTTGCGAAAAGGACGGGTGGTCTTCAAACATACGTGACAAACTCTCAAACAAAGACCTTTTCATAAGCTTTGACACCTTTGACAGGATTCTGTGAAGATTGCTTATGGGTGGCCGATTTTCTGCCAGCCTACACCATCCCACTCTCTGTGTGGTCTCTCTCTCTCTCTCTCCCTCTCTCTCTCTGCTTCTCCGCCAAGACTCTGAGAATGCGGTCGATTCGCCCGGACTGGTGCCAGGGACGGGATGGTGCCCAGCAAGAAGGGGTGGAAATGAGTTACACAAACGCAAAAAACAAAGAAAACACGCATGCACTTAAAAGTTCCATATATATAGAGACATTGTCTGTCCAAAACATGAGAGGAGAATGAATGATATGAGGCACCCCTACTGGCTTCCACCCTCTCACTACATCCAATCACCACCTCTTCGGACCCCAGGTCAAATGCACCAATCATGCCCGGTGATGCGCCAGAACCGCCGGTACCGGTATCGGTTTTCGCACCGGGTAGCAACCAGCGCGGTACAACCAAGGTAGAAAAGCGAAGGGCACGAATCCCTGGACCTACCTTTTGTTGAATCGTGAGCACCCTTGGAACCACGATTGGCCAGCAGGTCGTCAGGTCATCTGGTCGTCCTTTCTTCGCTCGTTGGTCTTCATGCCGAGTGGGCGGCCCCGACAATGACCCCGTGGGCAGAACCACCCATAAGAGGGCTTGCCTGCAGAACAAAGGTCCAAAATGGTCCATAGAAACATTGTAAGCAGTCATCGGGTATATATATATATAAGTCTTCATCAAGGAATCTTTCAACCTTTCGTATATTTCTTCTGAGAATCCCCGCCGACGTCTTACGCCGTGGACATTTCTAAACGATTCTAAACGCGCCTCCTCTTGCCCCACGCGGGGCGCTTCGAAGCGAGGCCGTTTCAGGCCCTCGCGGTGCCGGACAATGGCCGCCTGGCGTCGGAGTTAGGTCCGGACGCCAGGAACATCTGAGTCTCTGACAGTGGACTGCAGATTCACATTGTTTCGGTGGTGGTGCTTTTCTCTAGGCACATGGAGATGTTGGAGGTGTCGCCTGCCTTTGGCATCACAGAAGGGCACATCGGCTTTCGCACAATTGGCGCCGAAACTCTCTCTCCTATGGTCCTATGGATGATGTTCCTGATGAATGTTTGGGCAGCTTTCGGGATGAACAACCCAAGCATCTTGCTGATTGTCCCGTATTGCTGGACCGAACTTCAACCCCTGTGAACTCCAATCGATCCCGCCATCCTGATCCAAACAGCAGGTGATACCCCCCTCAGTTTGAGGACAGGTCCACCTGAAATCTTCCTGACTTATGACACACCAGTCCTCCATCAATCAAACATGTCACCAACAAAGTGTGAAACCTCGTCCCTCCCTGATCATGATCGGCTCTTCTTCAAAAAGAACCGGTAAAAAGAGTATATAAATATAATTCTGTTTGGATCGACCAACTTCACGGGAACACGATGTGGATCTGGTGATTCGATGTGGATCCTGGGGTACCTCCGAAAAAGTGGCCCAGTGAATGATGGATGGGGCCGGGTTGCCCAACATCTCAAAAACAGGTGATAGTCATTTGCCCACTGTTACTGTTGCTGGTTGGCTGGGCGCCCCACCCCAGATCCAATCACAAACATCAACTGCATGAGGACATTGCTCGGGCTGGGGGATGGGGCATCCTTCCTGGCCATAGCAATTCAAACGAATATCATGAACATTGAAAACAACCAAATCTTGAAAGAACTTTATAATATAGCGACCTTAAATAGATAGAAAAGTAAAATACATTCAAATATATTGGAACATGTTTCTATCTGTTTGGGGACCTCTTTAATGGACGGAACCACCTTGCGCAAACGAAATGTTGTATTGCGGAAGGTCTCAGGTGTTGCTTCAGTGCCTTGCCTCCATTGAGCCGTCAATCTATGATCCCAAGCTGAAGAGGCTCTTATGTGCAAGTGCCGTGCATGCTTGGTTTGGAGATTATGGATGAGGTATCATGGAGCTTGCCTTGGATGCTTCCCTCTCTCTACCAAAGTGATGGTGCCAAGGTTACGACATACAAAATAAAATGGTTCTTTTGAGCGTTGCGCATGGCTTGCTCCCCGTCCTGCCGCATGAAACATATTGTTTTGTTGCCCCAAGTCTGCAGGACTAGTTAGACTCAAAGGTGCCTTGAAAGCCTTGAAAGCTTGCTGGAGAAACAACTGCAACTGGACAAACGACAACTAAAGCAATGCAAATGCAAACTGACATCCCCCGCTCTTTTGGAGATTTGTGGTGTCTCCCTCTTCAGCTGTTGTATTGCGATGCATTTCACACCCGGTGTCAAACGCGCCCGACTCTCCTGCCTTCAGGTCTTCACTGAGGATACGCTTCAGTCGGAAGGAGGCTTCCACAGCTCCCTGTGTTTCGACCACCGTGCTTCGGTTCACGCTTTCGGCCTTTCTCCAACAAACGATCCGGTGGACACCCGAAAAAGGAGGTGGATGCCGTGGCCTCCAATGTACGCCGTTCTCTCGAACGGCGCTGAAAACGGCGTTGTCCTTTATGGCCCCCATGTGTTGAGTGGTCGTTTTTGTGGTCCTGGTGGTAGAATAGTTTCTTACCAGTCTGTCCTCAACATCGAGTTGTCATGGGGGATTGGATGAAAGGCTTGGCTGCCAGAACGGACGGCCATTCCTCAACATAAAGATGTCGATGTTGTTAAGCGTTCCCAGAGTCACGCCCACAAAAAGGTTGCAATTTTACATAAGGCGCGCGCACACACAAACGAATGGGGAAAACACACATTCTTCCAAACATGCCATCTGATCGGCCAACAATGGATTTGGCATCATGTCCCAAAACGTTCATGGGGGAACCCCGCCCTCGCCCTCTTTGGCCAATCTTGTCATAGGGAAAGTCGTGGCGCTTCGAGGCACCTGCAGGTGTTCCGCCACATCATCTGCCTCCACTCCGCCAGTGCCATCGTCCGCCTTCTCCGGTGGCACTTCCTGGCAAAATAAAGCAGGAAGAAAACGTATCACCTGGGATCTCCTTCTCTAACGCTAATATATTACTATCGGATTCCGGCGCTCTGGGGGTAAACGGGACTAGATCAGATCCCGCATACATGGCATTTTTGATGGTTGCCTTGCACAAATGCGGGTCCTACATGTGTTGGCCTCCTATTTGGTTTGCCACATTCATCTCAGCTAAACGGACCTTCTCAAATGGAACACGGCCATCTGAAATATCTTCAAACGCCTTTACCGGCACAAACGCCTCCAAGAGTTGTCATGTCATGAGGACTCTCGGCATTTTTGGACCTCCTGGACATAGTATATTTCACGAGGTGTTGTCTAGACATAATGTCCACATCTGCGTATCTTGAAGGATCACTTCTTCACTTCGAAATGCCATCGATGGAACAAATCGAATTCGGGCTAAGCTTTTCCAGCAATCAATGCTTTCCCAGTCCTTGTTGGCCTCCTGGACTGCCATTGTTGGGATTCAGTTGCTTGTCCTTCGTGTGTTGGCTTTTTTGTGGGTGACAGCTTCTCGGGATGTTCCACAATGTTCTGCCTGATGCATGCATGCAAACCATTCCTCTTGAGCAACTACTGCATGTGCAGCATTTCTGCATGAGAACATGTGGGGACCCTTCTTGAGCCTCGACAACGATAGTGAAGGACATGTCTACAGACAGTGCACTCAAGGACCAGAACAATGGCCAAACAGCCTTCACAAGGTCACTAGGACACCACATCAGCTGTTTGTGATGCGATGTTCCATCCCTGAAATAAACCAATACAAACCCTGGGGTTGATGGACCTTTTTGCACTGACCGCTTGGCAATCGAAGGTTGCGCGCACCCGACAGCGCATCAGTCTTGGTCAGCGTGTCAAGTATCCTGTATCCATGACTGACAGGGTGTGGCCAGAGATGGACGCCAAACAGTCAAGAAGATTCAACAGTCCATATCGGATTGTTCCCATCCAAGGAGGAGGACGATGAGCAGAGGAATTTCACCAACAAATGTGATATTATATAGTAAGATTCTACTGACGATTAGTGCGATGGAACAACCCAAAATCAAACACTTCAAAGTATTAACTGTAGATACAGGTAAACGACCGATAGCTACCAACAAGTCGCACCTGGTTTTCCTTGAGCCAAACGATAGTAAAGTGAGACATGTATACGACATCCTAGCGTGAAACAACACCCCCCGCTGAACGAAAATGGGAGGAGTGAAGTTATGTACAGTGCATTAATTAAGGACCTACGAAGGCATCCGGTCCCCCGGTACGTGCTAAGCATCGAACCGGAACGTGCCTTGAGATGGAGAGGATGGTTGACCTCAAGGACGGATCACATCTTGCACTGTTATGCTTTGATGCTAGGGTTGAACATGTCTCAACTGATTCATGCATGAAAGTTCAAAGCAAGCTCACAAAGATAATCTCTTTTGCGCAGCGGAACTGGGAGTGCAATGCCAACCTTTTAGAAAGCAGGAACAAAGCCATCAAGGCACACGCTCCCGCGTGGCGACAAAGCACAACAAAAGATGTGCGCTCTTTGTTGCAAGGATTGAGAGCCAAGCTCATCGACCTGAACTCAAACGAATTAGCTGCTGGTTTCAGGCAACCGGTCCCCCGGTGCATCACAGAAACGGTCATCCAGGCAACCGCTCCCGCGGTGCGTTGAGGGAAAAACACAGTGCACAAAGACAGCCGAGTCACCCGTAGATTTTATTCTCTTCTCCACAGGCAACAGCTCCCGCTGTGCGTCGTGTTTACCACCTGCGCTGACTCCACCAGTCGTGTCCTCGCCAGTCACTGCCACGACCGCGATCATCTTGCCACCAGTTGCGGTTGGATGAGGACCACCAGGAAGACGATGAGGATGACTGCTGCCAATCATGGTATTGATCACTTCCGGCAGCTCCTCGCCAGCGTTGCTCTGATGTCTCGGCCTGAGTACGTGTTGCTCTGGCCAGACTTTCACCTGGACCTGGTGCGGCCTTGGCCTTGGGAATCACAAGTGCCCTTGTTTCTTTCACAAGGTTGATATCCAAGCCAGGTACAAATTGAGCATCGCCCATCACGAATTCCAGGAGTTCATCCAACACATCATCAGGGTCCGTCTTCTCACTTCGCCACTCACCTCCAAATCCCAGGATTGCGGGTCGTTTTGCACCTTGACAGTAGTCCGCAGCGAAAGTCTCAGGACGGTGCAGCCTGTTCTTCCAATAAATGAAGAAGTCCTCGCTCAGGTCAGCATCATTCCCTTTTGCTGGTTCGTTCATGAAGATGACCTTGCCAGCGTATCGATGACCGATGCCACGAGCAATCATTTCCCTTGTCCTCGGAGGGTCAGGGATGATGGCATCTGACAATCGTTCCAGGAATTGAATGCAGATTGGAGAGAGGTCCTGGGCTGCGCAGTTGAACGCGTAGAAAGCGTCAACCAGCTGTCGCTGCGATACCGTCATGGACATCTTGTCCGCCTTCTGAACATGGCTTTTGGCGTTCGCTTTCAGGATGTTGATGCCCGAACGAGAAGCCCGTTGAACTTCATGGCCAGGCGTCCCCGCCGGCGTCCTCCTCACACCTGTTCCTTGCAGCCTGTCCTCAGGTACCATATCCATCGTGACTTCGATACCGAGATCTGCTGCAATTTCCTCGATCCGAATGAGCTGAGCAGCTTTACACAGATCCGAGGCATTGTTGAGGAAGGTGCCGCATGTGATGCAGGACATCATGCCATGGGTGTAGGTATTTGTGCACGTTGGGCACTGAGCTTCTGGCATCTGAATGCCCTCAACGACCATCCATCGAGTGTTGCCATAACCCTCAGTCTCGGGGTGGATCTTGCGCCAATCAAACCGAGGTCGGTTGTAGTTGGGCAGCATCTCTTTGGGCGACACTTGGTTCCTGTAGGCGTTGAAATTGGGCCTGCGAACGACATACGTGACCTCGTATGTTTCCAAATCAGGATTCTGCTTTCCTGATATCATTTGGTCTTTCACGCCTGGGCGTTCAAACAGTTCACCGTACACGAATGGGGAAAAGGTGTCCACCTTGCCACACCACCTCTCATAGTCACCAAGGACCTGGTAGGTGTATTTCTCCAGTGGGCTTTTCACCATTTCATCGTCATCGGCAACTGGTCCCCCAGTGCGTGCTGAATTGAAGGCTTTTGTTTCACCGGTAATGATGCCGCGATAGTGTGCGTACACATGGTTCGCGAAGGCGTAGCATCGGGACTCCATGTCATACACGTAAATCACGTTCCGGTTTGCCAGCCAGTCAGGGCATAGGATCGTACCAGCAGTTGTTTCAATGAGCCGGTGCCCGTTCAGAATCATCATCTGGAGATCCATGGCAACGCAGATGGGGCGAGTCGCCGCCATCGCTGCATAGTCAGTGCCTGAAATTGTCCACGGATCTTCCTTCGTCAAGAATGTGAACCTGGCTCCAGTCCGATTGCCGCCGGGAATCAATCCCATGTTGATGATCTCGATCAGTGCTGCCCGGTGCGTGTAGTGATAGAGGATGGTAGGGGCCACCTCCTTCACCTTTCCCAGCGCACCTTTTGGAACTCGAGGGAATTTGCCGGCCAGGTATTCCACCGAAGTATACTCCTCATCGAGAGTGACAAAGCGTTCGTGCTCAGGAAGTGCATCCTTCACGTTGTTGTTTGACCATTCATTATGGTTCTGAATCGCTTTGACCCGAAGAGGTGTATATTGGTATTTTCCACCGACCAAAGTCCCCTTTGGCGCAATCCTCACCTCGAGCATGAACCTGTGATTGGATGTGATGACCGTCAGCAGTTCATCATTGGTAAGGTTGACATCGTACTTCCGCTTGATGAACGAGTACACCTTGCCATAATCCATCCACAGCCCAGCGTCGAAGCTTGGAGGCTGCACCTTGTGCCAGGATTGTCTGCTATGCTCCCATCCTCGGAGCAAGCCCGAGATACGCCGGGAAATCCAGACTTGTTTCGAGTTCAGGTTCGCCAAATTGGCAGCACCCGGAACCGATCTTGACTGCAATGCCACAACTTCGTTTTCCCCAAGAGGCGATGAAACGGAAGGCACCGGTGGTGCCTTAGGCATGGCCTTGGCTTTGACAGCTGGTTTTGCTGTCGGGGTCGAATCCGAGGCCACAGCTCCCGCCGGGCGTTTTGGTACTTTGGGCTGAGTTTCCTCTGTTGGCTTCATTTCAACATCGGCCTCAGCTCCCGCCGGGCGTGCTTTTGCTTTCGGTGATGCCGGTTTAGTCTTTGACTTTGCAGTCTCATACGGCGCTTTCGGCGCTCCCGGCTCACCTGATGCTTTCGCCTTCGGGATCCTAGTTTGTGGTGCCTTGTTGGCCAGGTCAGGCTCGTTCCCCAAAGTGGTGACCTCGCGGAACTTTCTGAGTGCCTCACCAGTGAGCTGCGGGATGTCTTCTTCTGCCATGTAGATACGAATGACATCGCTCTCATCCTCCTTCTTTCTCAACTGGTAGGTGACACCCGCGACCTGACATGAGTCGGCATGCATAGATGTGAGGATCGGTTCCTTGAAAACAATTTCCTCATCTGAGTCATCATCTGGCTGATCTTTGTTTTCAAAGCCTTGCATGATGGCGGAATCAAGGTGATCTTTGAGAAGTTCATTGACATAGTCCTCGTCCGCAATGGGTTCATTGGATACATGGAGCTCCTCTTCTTCCGTGATGGTCACAGGGTCCACCTCGGTGTCACCATGCTTTGGCATATCAATGGTGACAGACACGAACTCCATGCCCGGAGTGCTCACGGGAGCCTGGTTGTTTGCATCTCGACCTTCCGTCCCCGGAGGCGAATCAGCGCTGGGCGCAAAGGTGTCGTCAATCTCGATGACTTCCGGCACACTTGCATCCGGCATTGACTGATCAGCCTTCGACGGCTCAGCCGGGACTTGCACATCCTGACCCTCGTCATAGAAATCCGGACCAACGGTTCCCCGTGGCATGTTGTAAAGTCGCTGATTGAATGGCAGGAGCTTGGCAGCTTCAATCTGCTCCTTGGTCGCGAAGACTGAGTCCCCAGCATCATCCATGTGAGCGACCTCAGTAGTCTCAGAGACCGTCAGGAGCCAGCCATTCTTCTGGTCGATGGCAGTCTGCCGCTTTTGACCCGGGAGAAGCTCATCATGCTCGTCGAAGTCACCCAAAAACAGGTACCCGGAATCAATGCGTCGCTTCCAGATGTGCTCAAGCATATGCTGGCGGTGGGTCTTTTCCCCACGAGGTTTCGCGAAAAGGTTGGCATCCTTTCGCAGTACATCAACGCCAGCGAGCACCCAGTAGTGGTAGGCGAAGAGAGCAACATTCGCGTAGTACTTCACAAACATCGCCCGGTTCTCTTCTGTGTTGTAGCAGTGGAAATTATCGTACCGCTGACAGGATCGAACCAGGGTGGTGCCTGTCACATTCGTGACGCCAAGGCGAGTGAAGACATCCGCTGATTGGCACATTTGACGGGCGTATTCTTCCGGCA